TTTCTTTTACTCTGAATTGTGTATTAAAGTGTGCTAACGACTTAAAAACGATTTCAAATTGACTCGTTTTCCTTTCGAGGTGCGTCAAAAATTTAAAGCCGTTCCGCGTGAATAGAAATCGTTCCTGAGCCCGTCAGACACACAGTAGAGATATAATAAATATTTTACTAACCTCGTTTTCTCGGCCCGTACTGTAAGTTACTGATCCTCGCTTTTTTATGGTCCAAGCGCGAAGCGCGCGGGAAATAAATCGAAGGGGGAAAAACTCGGTCCGTAACTTACAGTACGTCCCTCGAACTCGGTTAGTAAGAGGTATCTATACATTCTCATTTCAATCTGTTGCGTTCTATTATGTCTTTATCCCAGAGGAGTGGAAACACTTCAGAAATTATCCAACGAAAAGTGACATCACTTCCAGCTGAAAACAGCCGCAGCGTTCTTTTCGGTCGAGAAAATGAAACTTCGATGAGGCAAATTTTCATGTATTTGTAAAGCATCTGTTTCGTGCGATTTTATACTCAGGATAGAACACATTGCCTCGACTTTTAAAGNGTTTTGTGATTTATCGCCAAGTGTTCATAACTTTTATAGCAAGTAAAAAATTTCTTTTACTCTGAATTGTGTATTAAAGTGTGCTAACGACTTAAAAACGATTTCAAATTGACTCGTTTTGCTTTCGAGGTGCGTCAAAAATTTGAAGCCGTTCCGCGTGAATAGAAATTATTCCTGAGCCCGTCAGACACACAGTAGAGATATAATAAATATTTTACTAACCTCGTTTTCTCGGTCCGTACTGTAAGTTACTGATCCTCGCTTTTTTATGGCCCAAGCGCGAAGCGCGCGGGAAATAAATCGAAGGGGAGAAAACTCGGTCCGTAACTTACAGTACGTCCCTCGAACTCGGTTAGTAAGAGGTAGCTACACATTCTCATTTCAATCTGTTGCGTTCTATTATGTCTCTATCCCAGAGGAGTGGAAACACTTCAGAAATTATCCAACGAAAAGTGACATCACTCCCAGCTGAAAACAGCCGCAGCGTTCTTTTCGGCCGAGAAAATGAAACTTCGATGAGGCAAATTTTCACGTATTTGTAAAGCATCTGTTTCGTGCGATTTTATACTGAGGATAGAACACATTGCCTCGACTTTTAAAGCAGAGGTTTTGGGAGAAGGTACAAGTTTCAGTGG